GACCAAAGACCAGGTAAAACACACAGAGACCAAAGACCAGGTGAAACACACAGAGACCAAAGACCAGGTAAAACACACAGAGACCAAAGACCAGGTGAAACACACAGAGACCAAAGACCAGGTAAAAACACACAGAGACCAAAGACCAGGTGAAACACACAGAGACCAAAGACCAGGTGAAACACACAGAGACCAAAGACCAGGTGAAACACACAGAGACCAAAGACCAGGTGAAACACACAGAGACCAAAGACCAGGTAAAACACACAGAGACCAAAGACCAGGTAAAACACACATAGACCAAAGACCAGGTAAAACACACAGAGACCAAAGACCAGGTAAAACACACAGAGACCAAAGACCAGGTGAAACACACAGAGACCAAAGACCAGGTAAAACACACAGAGACCAAAGACCAGGTAAAACACACAGAGACCAAAGACCAGGTGAAACACACAGAGACCAAAGACCAGGTAAAAAAACACAGAGACCAAAGACCAGGTGAAAACTCACAAGAGATAAAGACCAGGTGAAACACACAGAGACCAAAGACCAGGTGAAAACTCACAAGAGAATAAAGACCAGGTGAAACACACAGAGACCAAAGACCAGGTAAAACACACAGAGACCAAAGACCAGGTGAAAACACACAGAGACCAAAGACCAGGTGAAAACTCACAGAGAATAAAGACCAGGTGAAACACACAGAGACCAAAGACCAGGTAAAAACACACAGAGACCAAAGACCAGGTGAAACACACAGAGACCAAAGACCAGGTGAAACACACAGAGACCAAAGACCAGGTGAAACACACAGAGACCAAAGACCAGGTGAAACACACAGAGACCAAAGACCAGGTGAAACACACAGAGACCAAAGACCAGGTAAACACACAGAGACCAAAGACCAGGTGAAACACACAGAGACCAAAGACCAGGTAAAACACACAGAGACCAAAGACCAGGTGAAACACACAGAGACCAAAGACCAGGTAAAACACACAGAGACCAAAGACCAGGTGAAACACACAGAGACCAAAGACCAGGTGAAACACACAGAGACCAAAGACCAGGTAAAAACACACAGAGACCAAAGACCAGGTGAAACACACAGAGACCAAAGACCAGGTGAAACACACAGAGACCAAAGACCAGGTGAAACACACAGAGACCAAAGACCAGGTAAAAACACACAGAGACCAAAGACCAGGTGAAACACACAGAGACCAAAGACCAGGTGAAACACACAGAGACCAAAGACCAGGTGAAACGCACAGAGACCAAAGACCAGGTAAAAACACACAGAGACCAAAGACCAGGTGAAAACACACAGAGACCAAAGACCAGGTGAAACACACAGAGACCAAAGACCAGGTGAAACGCACAGAGACCAAAGACCAGGTGAAACGCACAGAGACCAAAGACCAGGTAAAACACACAGAGACAAAGACCAGGTGAAATGCACAGAGACCAAAGACCAGGTAAAACACACAGAGACCAAAGACCAGGTGAAACACACAGAGACCAAAGACCAGGAAAACACACAGAGACCAAAGCCAGGTGAAACACACAGAGACCAAAGACCAGGTAAAACACAGAGACCAAAGACCAGGTGAAACACACAGAGACCAAAGACCAGGTAAAACACACAGAGACCAAAGACCAGGTGAAACACACAGAGACCAAAGACCAGGTAAAAACACACAGAGACCAAAGACCAGGTGAAACACACAGAGACCAAAGACCAGGTGAAACACACAACCAAAGACAGGTGAAACACACAGAGACCAAAGACCAGGTAAAACACACAGAGACCAAAGACCAGGTAAACACACAGAGACCAAAGACCAGGTGAACACACAGAGACCAAAGACCAGGTAAAACACACAGAGACCAAAGACCAGGTAAAACACACAGAGACCAAAGACCAGGTGAAACACACAGAGACCAAAGACCAGGTAAAAACACACAGAGACCAAAGACCAGGTGAAAACTCACAAGAGAATAAAGACCAGGTGAAACACACAGAGACCAAAGACCAGGTGAAACACAAGAGAACAAAGACCAGGTGAAACACACAGAGACCAAAGACCAGGTAAAACACACAGAGACCAAAGGCCAGGTGAAACACACAGAGACCAAAGACCAGGTAAACACACAGAGACCAAAGACCAGGTGAAACACACAGAGACCAAAGACCAGGTAAACACACAGAGACCAAAGACCAGGTGAAACACACAGAGACAACAGACCAGGTAAAACACACAGAGACCAAAGACCAGGTGAAACACACAGAGACCAAAGACCAGGTGAAACACACAGAGACCAAAGACCAGGTGAAAACACACAGAGACCAAAGACCAGGTGAAACACACAGAGACCAAAGACCAGGTAAAACACACAGAGACCAAAGACCAGGTAAAACACACATAGACCAAAGACCAGGTAAAACACACAGAGACCAAAGACCAGGTAAAACACACAGAGACCAAAGACCAGGTGAAAACACAGAGACCAAAGACCAGGTAAACACACAGAGACCAAAGACCAGGTAAAACACACAGAGACCAAAGACCAGGTGAAACACACAGAGACCAAAGACCAGGTAAAACACACAGAGACCAAAGACCAGGTGAAAACTCACAAGAGAATAAAGACCAGGTGAAACACACAGAGACCAAAGACCAGGTGAAAACTCACAAGAGAATAAAGACCAGGTGAAACACACAGAGACCAAAGACCAGGTAAAAACACACAGAGACCAAAGACCAGGTGAAAACACACAGAGACCAAAGACCAGGTGAAAACTCACAAGAGAATAAAGACCAGGTGAAACACACAGAGACCAAAGACCAGGTAAAACACACAGAGACCAAAGACCAGGTGAAACACACAGAGACCAAAGACCAGGTGAAACACACAGAGACCAAAGACCAGGTGAAACACACAGAGACCAAAGACCAGGTGAAACACACAGAGACCAAAGACCAGGTGAAACACACAGAGACCAAAGACCAGGTAAAACACACAGAGACCAAAGACCAGGTGAAACACACAGAGACCAAAGACCAGGTAAAACACACAGAGACCAAAGACCAGGTGAAACACACAGAGACCAAAGACCAGGTAAAACACACAGAGACCAAAGACCAGGTGAAACACACAGAGACCAAAGACCAGGTGAAACACACAGAGACCAAAGACCAGGTAAAACACACAGAGACCAAAGACCAGGTGAAACACACAGAGACCAAAGACCAGGTGAAACACACAGAGACCAAAGACCAGGTGAAACACACAGAGACCAAAGACCAGGTGAAACACACAGAGACCAAAGACCAGGTGAAAACACACAGAGACCAAAGACCAGGTGAAACACACAGAGACCAAAGACCAGGTAAAAACACACAGAGACCAAAGACCAGGTAAAACACACAGAGACCAAAGACCAGGTGAAACACACAGAGACCAAAGACCAGGTAAAAACACACAGAGACCAAAGACCAGGTAAAACACACAGAGACCAAAGACCAGGTGAAACACACAGAGACCAAAGACCAGGTGAAACGCACAGAGACCAAAGACCAGGTAAAAACACACAGAGACCAAAGACCAGGTGAAAACACACAGAGACCAAAGACCAGGTGAAACACACAGAGACCAAAGACCAGGTGAAACGCACAGAGACCAAAGACCAGGTGAAACGCACAGAGACCAAAGACCAGGTAAAAACACACAGAGACCAAAGACCAGGTGAAACGCACAGAGACCAAAGACCAGGTAAAAACACACAGAGACCAAAGACCAGGTGAAACACACAGAGACCAAAGACCAGGTAAAAACACACAGAGACCAAAGGCCAGGTGAAACACACAGAGACCAAAGACCAGGTAAAACACACAGAGACCAAAGACCAGGTGAAAACACACAGAGACCAAAGACCAGGTAAACACACAGAGACCAAAGACCAGGTGAAACACACAGAGACCAAAGACCAGGTAAAAACACACAGAGACCAAAGACCAGGTGAAACACACAGAGACCAAAGACCAGGTGAAACACACAGAGACCAAAGACCAGGTGAAACACACAGAGACCAAAGACCAGGTAAAACACACAGAGACCAAAGACCAGGTAAAACACACAGAGACCAAAGACCAGGTGAAACACACAGAGACCAAAGACCAGGTAAAACACACAGAGACCAAAGACCAGGTAAAACACACAGAGACCAAAGACCAGGTGAAACACACAGAGACCAAAGACCAGGTAAAAACACACAGAGACCAAAGACCAGGTGAAAACTCACAAGAGAATAAAGACCAGGTGAAACACACAGAGACCAAAGACCAGGTGAAAACTCACAAGAGAATAAAGACCAGGTGAAACACACAGAGACCAAAGACCAGGTAAAACACACAGAGACCAAAGACCAGGTGAAAACACACAGAGACCAAAGACCAGGTGAAAACTCACAAGAGAATAAAGACCAGGTGAAACACACAGAGACCAAAGACCAGGTAAAAACACACAGAGACAAAGACCAGGTGAAACACACAGAGACCAAAGACCAGGTGAAACACACAGAGACCAAAGACCAGGTGAAACACACAGAGACCAAAGACCAGGTGAAACACACAGAGACCAAAGACCAGGTGAAACACACAGAGACCAAAGACCAGGTAAAACACACAGAGACCAAAGACCAGGTGAAACACACAGAGACCAAAGACCAGGTAAAACACACAGAGACCAAAGACCAGGTGAAACACACAGAGACCAAAGACCAGGTAAAACACACAGAGACCAAAGACCAGGTGAAACACACAGAGACCAAAGACCAGGTGAAACACACAGAGACCAAAGACCAGGTAAACACACAGAGACCAAAGACCAGGTAAAACACACAGAGACCAAAGACCAGGTAAAACACACAGAGACCAAAGACCAGGTAAAACACACAGAGACCAAAGACCAGGGTCAACAGACAGGTAACATACCTGGACAGTCTGGGGCAGGTTTTTGATGGACAGGTAAAGCCAGATGCTGAGCTTCAGAGGAAGGATGTCCTGCCAGTGAGGTCGGTCCTGATCTCTGAAACAACAAACAAATTAAAAAGAATCACAAACAAGTAAACAGGAAGTTCAATGATGTCTTTTCGATCCTGGCCAACACACCTGAGGTCCTCTGCAGGTTTGGAGCTCATCTTCTTCTTCTTCTCTTTCTTTTTCTTACTCAGGAGCTCGTCCTGGAGACACCAAGGATTAATGCTCACATCAGTTTAGGTTAAATCAGGTGTTAGATTGATTGCTGTGTTCTCATTGGCTGTCTCACCAGCTGCTTCTCCAGGTAAATGGACCAGATCACGGCATAGTGTCCAACAGTAAGGATGAGAAAGAGGAGGAAGCCCAGCTCAGCGTTACTCATCTTCCTTACTCGTCTGTAGTAAAAGACCGGCTGCCTCCAATCAGGAAGCCCGTTCACCAGGATGTCATCATAACTGGAGACACAAGGATTAGGAGGACTAGTTATGGAGTCATGAGGACAAGTTATGGAGTCATGAGGACTAGTTACAGAGTTACAATACTAGTTATAGAGTTACCAATACTAGTTATAGTCACAGGGACTAGTTACAAAGTTACAATACTAGTTATAAAGTTACAATACTAGTTATAGAGTCATGATGACTAGTTATAGAGTTACAATACTAGTTAGAGAGTCACAAAGACTAGTTATAAAGTTACAAATACAAGTTATAAAGTTACAATACTAGTTATAGAGTTACAATACTAGTTATAGTCACAAAGACTAGTTACAAAGTTACAATACTAGTTATAAAGTTACAATACTAGTTATAGAGTCATGATGACTAGTTATAGAGTCACAATACTCGTTATAGATTCATGAGGACTAGGTATAGAGTTACAAGGACTAGTTATAAAATCATGAGGACTAGTTATAGAGTCATGAGGCCTCGTTACAGAGTTACAATACTAGTTATAGAGTTACCAATACTAGTTATAGTCACAGGGACTAGTTACAAAGTTACAATACTAGTTATAAAGTTACAATACTAGTTATAGAGTCATGATGACTAGTTATAGAGTTACAATACTAGTTAGAGAGTCACAAATACTAGTTATAAAGTTACAATACTAGTTATAAAGTTACAATACTAGTTATAGAGTCATGAGGACTAGTTATAGGTTCATGAGGACTAGTTATAGAGTCACAATACTAGTTATAGAGTCATGAGGACTAGTTATCGAGTCATGAGGCCTCGTTACAGAGTTACAATACTAGTTATAGAGTTACCAATACTAGTTATAGTCACAGGGACTAGTTACAAAGTTACAATACTAGTTATAAAGTTACAATACTAGTTATAGAGTCATGATGACTAGTTATAGAGTTACAATACTAGTTAGAGAGTCACAAAGACTAGTTATAAAGTTACAATACTAGTTATAGAGTCATGAGGACTAGTTATAGGTTCATGAGGACTAGTTATAGAGTCACAATACTAGTTATAGAGTCATGAGGACTAGTTATAGAGTCATGATGACTAGTTATAGAGTCATGAGGACTAGTTATAGAGTTACAATACTAGTTATAGAGTCATGAGGACTAGTTATGGAGTCATGAAGACTAGTTATGGAGTCATGAGGACTAGTTATAGAGTCATGATGACTAGTTATAGAGTCACAATTCTAGTTAGAGTCATGAGGACTAGTTATAGAGTCATGAGGACTAGTTATGGAGTCATGAGGACTAGTTATAGAGTCATGAGGACTAGTTATAGAGTCATGAGGACTAGTTATAAAGTTACAATACTAGTTATAAAGTTACAATACTAGTTATAAAGTTACAATACTAGTTATAGAGTCATGAGGACTAGTTATCGGTTCATGAGGACTAGTTATAAAGTTACAAATACTAGTTATAAAGTTATAAATACTAGTTACAAAGTTACAATACTAGTTATAGAGTCACAATACTAGTTATAGAGTCATGAGGACTAGTTATAGAGTCATGATGACTAGTTATAGAGTCATGAGGACTAGTTATAGAGTTACAATACTAGTTATAGATTCATGAGGACTAGTTATAGAGTCACAATACTAGTTATAGATTCATGAGGACTAGGTATAGAGTTACAAGGACTAGTTATAGAGTTACAAGGACTAGTTATAGAGTAACAAAGACTAGTTATAGAGTAACAAAAACTAGTTATAGAGTTACAAATACTAGTTATAAAGTTACAATACTAGTTATAGAGGTACAATACTAGTTATAGAGTCACAAAGACTAGCTATAGAGTTACAACACTAGTTATAGAGTCATGATGACTAGTTATAGAGTTACAAATAGTAGTTATAAAGTTACAATACTAGTTATAGAGTCACAATACTAGTTATAGAGTCACAAAGACTAGTTATAGAGTTACAATACTAGTTATAGAGTCACAAAGACTAGTTATAAAGTTACAACACTAGTTATAAAGTTACAATACTAGTTATAAAGTTACAATACTAGTTACAGACTTATGAGGACGAGTAATAGAGTTACTCATTGTAACTCAATGTTACTCATTGTGGTCATCATCTTGTTGAAACACTCTCTCTCTCCCTGATTTCCAGCTCTATCCACTGAAACA